TATTCAGAAGTTTACTGGTTTGAAAGTCCAAACAAAAATTCAAACAAAAACAATAGCTATCAGACCAATGAATCCCCAGATTTAATATTTCATTAACTTTGCTTATTTTTATTCATTTATTTGTTTGAAAATCCCGTGTGCGTGTATGTGTTATTTCGTATATATGCAAAGGCAACTCAACGATCGAGTGTGTGTGTGTGTGTTTGTGTGTACATGTTTGTGTGTGCATATGTTTGAGTGTGCGTGTGTGTGTACACGTGTGCGTGTGTTATTTCATATATGCACAGGCTACATAACAGTCAGTAGGTGTTTGTGTGTTCGTGTGTTTGTGTGTGCATTTTTTTCGTAGGTGTGCGTGTGCTATTTGCTACTAAACAACATTGTGCGTGTGCATGTGTGCGTGCGTGTGCGTGTCCTTTTACATAACTCATCTCAGGTGAGTTTAAGTCTGGCCACTTTTCTCTTGATCCGTTCTTAACTCCCAACATGATAGATTGCAAAGTCAAAACTGAAGATGAAAATGCTAACTATTCGGTCCTAATTTTGATGGTCTTTTTAAAAAGAAATTCATCAAATCATAAAATTGAAGCAGTCACCTTTAACCATAGATTTTGTTAAGGTTCTATTTTGAGTGACCAAGGTCGTTGTATAATACATCAAGTTTTAAAAGACTAAACGAATGTAAGGTTTACACTCTGGGTCGCAGTTGTTATTGTTGTCACTCGGCCATGAATTCAAAAACATCAAGGACTACGCCTAAATTTGTAAATTACATGCACTTAAAACAGGGCGATTCTGTATAGTTTTACCATTAATAACTAACATTTTGATGGAGATAACATCTTAGCATAAGTTTAGTAAAACACAAATGTAAACGGACCATTTTACATGTGTGTTAACAATTAATAAACTATTTCTCAGAAAAGCAACAAAAAATCATGTTCTCGCAAATGCCTGAAATGTGACAGCGTTAAGTTTTTGAATTCGACCAACTTAGTTGCCCTGAAGGATACTTATGATTTTAACAGTTCGTCCATGACCTTCCAACGTTTCAAGCTGCTGACTACAGATCCACACAATGTCAACGCTGATTATACATGCACCTTGGTGGTTAATTTACATTTCTGTGACGGGTTCTAGGAAGGCGAAGAAAGGGACGCCCACAAGAAGTTACAGAGAGACAGAGAGGCCAACCTTCTCGCTTTATTGAAATTGCCGAGAAGTGAAGGGTTATCCAGGTGTGTGAGCTAGAAAAAGACATAACTGCACAACCTTGTGTTATAACACGTGCATTATGGCTATTATCTATTTTTCTTATGTAAGAAATACAAATTCGTAAATAAGCAAACTACCTTCAAGAGTCTAGGGGACAATTCCCACAGATATCCAATATGGATTGATCTAGCATGGGAACCCAATCTAGGTATCGCTCTTCTGCGTCTTTAAAAAGGACACCGGGTCCCTGTTACTCAGATAGCTTACCCTGGCAGTTAACTGAAGACGGGTCTGCAACGTTTTGCAGAATTTTGGTAAGTGGCAACTAATTGTTATTTTAAAAACAATATCCGACAAAATCAAGATACTTGGACATCAGGAGACTTGTTCATTTTCACTGTATAAATAGTGTGCTTTAAGGCCGGTGATAGGGTTAACTACGCTTAAAATCATGTTTTTGAGTTTTTNTAATCTTTGATAAAATGTTCATTTGTGTAATTTGCATCACTTAATTATGATTTATTATTTTTTATTCTATTCATTTTTGTTTTTCCTCTTACGTTTGTGTGTTTCGACTGACGGTATGAATAAACCAAACAATTTACTGATATTATATTACTATTTTATTTTTAAATGGAATACAAAGATTGAACCTTTGAAACTTTTTAAAAGAATTTTTGATGAGTTACACAAAATGTGTAACACGGCTTTGACATCGCGGTGGACGGTGCATTGTTGTTATTCTATATAACTTTTGCCTTTCTTCCTTAAAAAACATTTTGAAATGTAGCAAATATTTTGATTTTATGCAATTTGCTCTAAGAATTTGATCAAAGAAATAAAACGATTATACCATATTCTGTTGCAGGTAGGCCTACATATATGCTTTCCCAAGACAGAGTACCATTGAATTTTCATCACAGATTTTGAGGCAGATTTCAAAGAGGATTACATAACCACTATGGACAACAGTGCAGAAGACATTGCCATGGCACCTCCATTCACTCCAGTGATTTTCCCCAACTCCTTGAACTTAGGCTCTGCCAATACCACTATAACCACAAACCAGAAAGAGGAAAACTTGACAGTGGTTTACTACTACCAGTTGCCGTGGTACAAAGCTTGGGTCGTGACAGCACTCATCCTGTTGATGCTACTGATATGCGTGGGAAACGCCCTTGTGGTCGCCGCTTACTTCCGAGTCCGCAGGCTTCGAACTAGGAACAATATGGTGTTGATCCAACTTCCGGTGACGGATCTCGTGGCCGGACTTATGATCCCGTTCCATATTGTGACATATTGTGTCTTCGACACAATAAAGTGGCTCCATCTTTGCATCTTGAGGTACTCTCTAACCATATGCCCGGGCTTGGCGACTATTTTTTCATTGCTGATGATCTCTTTTGAGAGGTACTACGCCATAGTGCACCCGCTGAAACACAGACAGCGCCATACTAAAAGGTGGTCTGTTATCATTGGACTGGTGATTTGGACGCCATCTCTGCTCGTCGGTTTTTTCCTCCCGTTTGTCTGGCACAAAGACTGGTCTTATGAGGATGAAAAAGTTTGTGATATGTCGTTAGTTCTTCCAGAACACTATTTAGGTGGTGTTTTGTCTTCCATTTTTGTCGTCGTATCCTTTTTTATTGTCTACATGTATGTCAAAATTGAAACAGTTCGGCGGCAGTCAAATCTAAGGGTCAGACAAAAGGACATAAAAATTTCCAAAACTGTGGCTTTGATTCTTGTGTGTTTTTTCACGTGCTGGACTCCCGTTATCGCAATGCTGGCTGTGCATAGCTTTTCTCCTCACTTACAATATACACCAACCACAATAATTGTGCGTTTTTTTCTGATGAATCTGGCCATGCTGAATTCCGCGCTGAATCCGATAATATACGCGATTCGGCTGCCCGAGTTTCGAAGCGCAATTCGAGAAATGGTGAAAGGGAAGAAATCTAAAATAAACATATCAGTTATCTCTGGGTCAACGAATGTTTCAACGCCTTCTCAGTCCAGTGTCACTGTATAACTTCTAATAAGAAAACTATCAAAATATTAGAATCAAACCTGTATTCATCTGAAAGAAAATAAAAGATATAAAAAAATGCGATATTTTGTTTATCCACTAGAAACGGGTGACTTCAGCGATGACCACAGGTTTCACCAATACAATGCGCTTGCCCACAGTTCCCGTCTGGTGACTGGTTTCTTGCAATGCTCTGAGGGAACAACCTTTGACGTCGAATGCTAACCCTATTGAACACCTGAGGGAAATTTTGGAATGCGCAATGCAGAGAAGAATTAACCCCTAATAATCTGGAACAACTCCGCCAAGCTCTTCTGGAAGAATGGGACAATACACCACAAAACCGCCCACAGGAGATAATGTCAGTAAACCGTAGACTCACACCCTAAAAACTTTCAAAGAGCGCATTCTGTTGCATAATTTTATGACATTCGGTGGCTTCTTTTAAATTTTATGGCCAGTTTTTACTTCTATGAAAATCACTGTGGAAAACAATATTTGTGGGAGTGCATGTTCTTAATTTGAATATGTGGTATAAAATAAGGTCCCCCATGATAGAGAGTATTGTTCCAATTTATTTACACAGGTAAGCCTCTCCCTAGATTTTAACCCGCTATCGTCAGGCTAAGCCTAACCTGTATAATTAAATGGAAGGTGGACCCTCGATCTGTTACACGGACCCTCAGTTTCCTCATAAGGGTATTTGGTAATGGAATAAAAAATACTATTCAGTAGGGTTTATAGCTGTCCTGCGATCATTTGTTACCAAAAGCACATATAGGACTGATGGTGGAATTATCTTTGTGAGAAAGAGTGTATAGTTGGTTACTTTAGATCAGATACATGCCGTTAAATCTAATAATAAGCACACCCCTTTTATCCTTTTTATTTTACAGGATTTTATTCGATCTTTCATCAAATTCCTGGACTTTTATTCGGAGATCCCACTGAAACTGTTCTTCTTTATCTCTGGATGGCCCTGAAATTTAAAAAAAAAGGAATAGACAAGCACCCGTTCAAAGAGATAAACCAGATAAGACTTAGGTTAATTTTTCGGACGATACTACCAGTAGAAAATTATTGGACATGTCAAAAGACATATGAAATAAGTTTGCTACTCAGAGAAATTGAAAAAAATAACAATTGGGGCCTTGGTTTATTTTATGTTTGCTCCCCCCCCCCCCTCTTTTAGCCTGATTTGCTTCGCTAAACCAGAGGGAGCGTTTTGGATTTATGTGAATTCCGGTATCTCAAGGAGGTGGCATACCGACTTAAACTTGGATAAAAGAAGGAAAAGCATCCGTTGATAATGAAGACGATTTATATTTATTTATAACCTATGTAAATGACAACGTGGCACATAAAGGATGAAAAAGTAGGCTAAAATTGATAAGAAAGTCTCAGTGTCGCTTTTTTACCACACTGTATCTTATAAGTATGTGAGTGTACATGTGTGTGTGGGGGGGGGGTGCACCCCAAAATAGTTGTCTGAAAGCGTTGGGATATTGGAATTTAAGTTGTTTTGTATATTTCTATAATGACGAAGAGTTTGTTGACTGCATTACTCAAATTTATTGACATTATCTCATACAAATGACCATCATCTTTGAGAAAAACAAAACAAACCCCAGTATTGGCCTACCAGACAGGTACATGTAGCCCTCTCTGAGTCACAAATATTTGTTTAGGATTTATAACAATACTAGCTCACAATAGGTATCGCCCAATCTCGTGCGTTCAAGATTCAAATAATACTTCAAGCTTTCACAATATAGCGTCGCTTACTTCGGCGTTACTATAGTACAAGGGTCTTGGGCTTAGTTAGGCTCGCTCGCTGTGTCCACAAGAGAAAGTTGCACACAATTTTTAAGAGACGCACTGATTTATCCTACTACGTACGCACTGCTTTCTGAGCCGTTGTGCAAGTATTGGTCTCTCAACCGGGCATTTATATCGGCCACTTGCAGAAAGTTTGTACATAGAATTTGACAGGAGCTGCAAAGCGGCCATTTTAAGTACCTTTCAACAGACAGAATACAACCTGCCCGTTGTTTCACTCTAGGTTTAAGGCCAACAACGTTACCAACTGAGTATTGCTTGAGTGACCACTACCGGACATACTGACCATGGCAGACACAGGGGGACAAGCGACCACCACCACTACCACCACTACGACAGGTTCCTCTGGCACTACATTTAACATAGACTATGTCAAGAGTCCTTTTGGTATCGTAAAGCTTTTGGAACTGGTGAGTATCGTTCAACTTCTGTTCGTCACGGTTCCCGAATATACATGTATTGTCAGTATGCCAGGCAGCTTGGGAATTTGTGACTGGTTTTTATAATTCATATTTAAATGCCCACACATTCTTATCCTGTGAAAGAATCGCAAAATAGGTTTATTTTGCAATGCATCGTCTCTGAAAGCATACTCATTTCATGCTACGGGTAAACTTTTCATCTATTCACCACACAGAATTTTATGAAGTTTACGGGAAAAGGACCGCTCTGGGTAAAATTTGAACTAGGTTCACGAAAGTTTCATGGTAAAAGGTCCAATTAAAAAAAAAAAAGAAAGAAAATTGCTGGCTACGGGTTTGGGTATACTATTTTTGTGTCCAAACAAGATAGTCTTTACATATTAAACACCACCAACATTGTAGAAATGCATTGTCAGTGACAGAGTCAGTAAATGTTGTAAGCGTTGTGGAGTGCAGCGTCACTGACAGTGTCAATGACGGTTTTAAACGTAAGACAGACTGTCAATGACACCGTAATCAAAGACCTGAAGTGTCTTGGAGTACACTCTCATAAAGGTTTTACTTGTAATGGAATGCACTAGTACTGACAGTGTCATTAAGGACCTAGTTACATGCCGTTATTCATATATAAATATATATATATATATACAATCTCTTTCCACAAGCGTCCCTACGCTTCAAACTGTTATTCGCTAGGCCCAGTACTCTAAAGCGGGTATTGTTGGCATGTTTTCTTTCTCCGCAGTTACAATGCCTGAACTATACAATACAAGCGCAAATAAATAAAAGGCGAACTTTTCAACACTTTCTTGAGTGCAATTCTGGCAAATGCACGGGTCACTGTTTGTGCTTGTGATCGGTTATAGTGGTTTGGATTCTGAGGTTTAATTTTAAAAAGCCGTTAACCCCCCCCCCCCCCCGTCCTGCCCCAATATACACGCTGTGTAGGGGTAGCAAAGTTTAGTACCTGCGTTCATGTCTATTTTACGAAAACGCTTAAAACCTAGTCAGCAGGTTTCTTTTACAATCTGGTGAAAAACAGGTTTAAGATAAAATATATGATATATTACGATTTTTATCAAATGATAGGCGATTATTTGTTGTAAAGAAATAAAGAAACTTTAAATATCACAAAGTCTCTTTTTTATGTTTTTCCGTTCTGTTTCTTTATAATAATCCTTTTGCTGGAGGAAAATTATTTGTCAAGTAGCTACAATGAGCTTACAAAATGTGTCATGTTTGGGTCCTTGCAATTATCTTTGCTGGCTTTTCTTTTGTTTTACGGTACTCTTCCAGGTTGCATTTTTTTTTACTCGTTTTGTTATCTTTATACCTCTAGTTAAGGGAATAATAAATACCCTCATCACCTATAAGAGGCTGTTTGAAATAAAAACCCTCTGTTTTGTTCCTAGATCTAAATTAAATCAGTCACTCGACATGAGAAATACTAGTAATAAAGGCAAACACAGTAATGATGTCCAAATTTTGCTCTTACGAACACAAGCCTAAAGATGTATTAGCCGAAAAGGTGCGTCGCGTAGTGTTTGTCACGTCTCATATTTGTCTTGGTTTTACCTATGCTCCGTAGCCTACTATTTCTCATTGACACTGTCAAGTGTTTCCATTCTTAAACACGCCATATGTTAATACACAAGTATCTTCATTTCAGATCATCGGCATTATCTGCATTGGTTGTGTTGGTGGATACAGCACCTACCCACCTACCCAGTGGTTCATGTTTGTAGCGTGTTCATGCTTCTTAGTTACCCTTGCACTGCTAATCATCTTCTTATTGAGCCTGGACACCAAATTGAGCCTCCCATGGCCGTTTGTGGTAAGTTCATGTGTTTTTTTTTAATGTTTTCTCGGTGTGAACTGTGCTTTGGCAAAAATTAAAATACTGAATAAAAAACCTTGGATGTCTGTCTAAAGAAAATCAAAATTGATTTCAAAATTAAAGCATTTAAGTCACTTGCTGATTTCCTTTTTTTACATTGGTATTTTAAAGAAGTTTTATAATTGTTTTTCTATGTATTTTATTATATGGTTGGTCCATTTTTACGGTTTGTGTATATAAGATAATGTTGACTTCTTGTTACTGAAGCGAAACACTGGAATATGTATCAACTGACTTGAGATAGAGAGAGAGAGAGAGAGAGAAGGGTTAATAATTATAGGGTGTGTCGGAGCAAGGAAGTAGACCGAAAATCTTCCGTGGTCGAGTTCATAATTGGGTTAGAGTTCAAATAATTTAATGCTCATTCGATGTAAGTTTTATGTGTATAACAGCCCGGGACTTACCATATTTTTGGTGCTGAGCTAATTGGTGTTTCTTATCTGTTGCTTCGTCCTTTTAAAACAGGCACACTATCTATTTTCAGGAGCTTATCTACGGTTTTGTAGCCAGTGTGTTGTACCTGATTGCAGCCATTGTGTTAGCGGTGTTTACGAATGGAATTGCAGCACTCGTTGCTGGCACAGTAAGTGGATTAAATTTAATTTAAAATAATGAATAAAATGCGTAGCTTTTTATTTTTATTTATTTATTCATTTATTTATATGCGGAAACAGAAAACCAGTGGTTCATGTTTATAGCAATTCTTCATTTGACTTTTCAAACATATAAAAAGCGTAATTATCTTTCTACAGATTGAATAAAATACAATTGCCTTGTTGACTTACAATCATAAGTATCTTCAGTTACATACTTTTTTCAAACCAGCTAAAAAATAGGCCCTACGACTGGCCAACGACGTTATATGGACAGATGGCTTCCATTTGGTGCTCTTGGAACACTACACATTAAAAAAACACTACCGCTGTTTTTCTCTCCGTTTCTCTGCCTGTCTGTCTGAATTCTTATCTAAATTTTTTAATCTCTTTTTTTTTTCAGGTGTTTGCCTTCTTCAACTTGATCGTGTATGCAGTGGGGACTTTCCTAAGCTTCCAGGACTGGAGAGGAGGGTCCCCTGGGAACGTTGCATAGTTACCGATGTCTATGTAAAACATTACATACTTCATGGGATTTTAGTACGTTTTGTCAGACAGAATTTGATCCAATTTGTGGCGCTACACTTGAAGCCTACAATTTGTCTTTGGATTGCAAAGAACGAAAAGGTACACTATACAGTAGTAGTGCTTTTACCCGCGAAGCACTACTTATAGGCATTTTGAATAATGATGGAACACTTTGCTGGTGCCCCCCCCCCCCAAAAAAAAAAAAAAAAAATGGAGCACAGAATTAATATTAGGATTGTACTATAAAACTTAATTCCTTGTTATTTCTTAATTTGGATTTTTTTTTCTAATCTCATCCAGAAATTGTAAAAACGATCTTGCGTGTATGTTTTTGTGTCATTTTATTTAGGTTTCAAGTATAGTTTACCTGATACATTACGTAATAGTGGGGAAAAGGACACGCGTGCCAAAGCCTTCAAGCATAGTCTATGTGACTGCAAGCACAGTCCTTTTGATAAAGCTTTAGAAACACTAATTAGGCTAGATTTGAGGTTTATTGTCGAGCACGATTTATAGCGTCTGATATGTATATTTCTATTTATTGTGATTTTTAATAAAGCTTTTTTTCATAATAAAGCTATTATTCTTACGATTGAGGAGAGAGAGAGAGAGAGAGAGAGAGAGAAACAGAAAGGGGGAGAAAGTCAATAGAAAATACGGACGGAAAAGTCAATACAGAATGCTTCTGTACTCTTAAATCATCCTTACCGCCCCTCCCACTACATGTTCCACCAATAACACGCCCCTAAGAAAAAGATTCAAACCCCTACGGGGAGCAGCCCCCCCCCCCCCCCAAACCACACGCCTGATCTCGGTAAAATGTATCGACGACTCTCGTTTTTCGCATATTTAGTTCATTACTGATAATGCTGTGAGGTAACGATGTTATGAGTGAGGTAACGATAAGTAACGTGTATAATGTAGACTGACCAAACATTTTGCTGCCGCTTAAGAAATTGCAAAATAAAACAAAGCTTTTTAATGTTTGAATTTTCGTACATCCTTAAACTCAAATAATAACATAGGCGAGGTGCTAGCTTCTTCAGAGGCGGGCCCGTCATTCCCAAACCTCACATACTTTGATATCCATCACTTCCAGCCCCCTCTCTCTCTCTATTTACATCAATACGGCTGCACAAAGGATAGAAAGCCAGTATTTTACATTCTGAAGTTACTCATGAGCAGAGGAACGAGGCGGTTTGATTTGTCTATTTTTATAATTAATCACGACACTCACCGCTATAGGTCACCCCCCTCCCCCACCTTCATTTGATCCTTACGCGACCTCCATCATATTTAGAACCCAATTGATGCAGACTTTTCCTTAGCTACACACTTAGCCGTGGATGTCCCTATAAAATTACGCATTACGAAGCCTGCCACGAATGCATTCTTTCCACTATCAATGACATATGTATGTTTATATTTTGATATTTTAGTGACATGTTATTGAAACCGCGGAAATGACAGAATCTCTCTCAGACTGAGAAGCATTCCACCACCACCATGACAAATTAGTCATAGGGCGTATTCCCATAGATTTTAGATCGATGTATCCCCGTGGGGAGTCTCACTAGATTACTGTCAGATAATCCGGCTTAAATGTCCGTCCCGCCTACTACAAGCTGTAAGGGGGTAATTAACGTTCGTGCCCGCTCGGCTGACAGCTATTTAGCGTGAACCCCCAGGGAGTAAGGTCGATCTAGTTTGGATCGATCTAGTTTGGATCGATCTAATCTCTGGGAATGGGGTCATAATCTCCTTTTTTGTTGCCAAGATTTAGGATCAAGTTGACAACGCAATTGGCGGTCTTAATGTTCAATTTACTATAGGCCCATCTGGTAGTATGGAAGCACAAGTATGAGAAAACCAGGTATTTTCTATAGATACATGTAATAGGAGTAGTATTTCCTACAGGGAAATGACATGCTATTTAGTGATTTATTCTTAATATGCTATTGAGCGTTCTTTCATTAAAGTACTGTGAAATGAAATACTGAAAGGGTGCGACCTCAGCCCTTTCCTTACACTTTCCCGCCCACTTCCTGCCACGTTCACAATAAACCACAACGTACCCTGCGTCTGCCCTCTAAAAACTGGTTCTAAAAAGATATTTCAAAAGTAATGTTTCGATACTTTTTTCATCCAGGGATCACCTTCGCTCTCAATTTACATTTCAGTCCCAATATGCTGCAGTCGCATTTTCTTAGTTTTTTTCAAGAACGTAATTTTTTTACATCCATTCTCTTATTTATGTTGATATATTTAACTGTCAACATTGCATAATAAAATAAAGGACCGATACCCCCCCTCCCCCAGAAGTTGTTATTGTATTAGTATCTGCTGCGATGTATTAATGAATTCCTTTTGGTAAAATACTTAAACATGTTAACCCATTAAATGATTTACTATTTCCAGGTATTTGGTATCATCTGTATAGGCTGTAGCGGTATGGCAATGGGCGGCGGCGCGCAGGCCTTCCTATCTGTGGCAATCATAGTCTTCTTCGAAGGTCTTTTAACAATTATCATCATAGTCAGCAGGAAGGACAGAATAATGGAATATATATTTAAATTTGTGAGTACTTTACAATGATGGCTGACCTAAACCGGTAATAGTCTAAATGACGTCATGAAATGGCTAGATTGCTTTACATTTGATTTCGGATTCTAATGCCCATTTTGCTGTTTCCTATTTGGGTTCTGGACATTCAAATATTAATAAGGAGAAAATTTCTGTGATAGTAGTCTAATATTAAAATATAATTACAAAGGTGTATTAATGTGATCATATGTGTGGAATTTCATGTCAGATGGATATATAAAGATAAAAAAAAATTCGTCAAAATATTTAAAATTAGATACATCTTTGCACAGTAGTTGTGGATCGCTACGACTCAGTTGTCAGTTACGAACTACTTCCTGGTTTTCACAAGGTCCTTCAAAGTCCCTAAAACATCGTTATAATTGCAGCCCATACCATAAAACACCCAAAAATACTTAGATATGGACACATCAGATTATATAAATGCCAAAATTCCACATGACAACGATTTATAGCCTCCCGGGAATTCTTTTCCCTTTACGCTCTTTGTCGCGCTGGCGGTCGATGCAGCATGTATTTCAAAACAAGTTGTCTGCAAATTAACCATGATTTTGCACCTTCAAGTTCCGTGACACGTTTTCATATCATGTGCCTATTGTTTCTACAAGTATTCTCTGCCCCAAATGCATAAAGATAAAATGTTATCTTACCGTGTTGTTAGAATAACTGCTTTTTTCTCCAAGCCCACGTCTTCATTCCCATCACCTCCAGCTAAAAATGACCACTCAGCTTTACGTCGTACACCACTACACGTCACTTCCGGCACAATTTTGACCAATGCTGATCTTCTCCGGTACCCTTTACTGGAGCTAGACTTTTTAACGTACGTAAAGCCACTTTTACATACCAGTATAGTAAACTTGAAACGTACTTTAATCTATAAAGTAGTAGTTAGTTACTATGCTTACTTTCTATTCTGTTTCGCTGGCTCGTTTACTCTAATTTTCCTCCGTTCTTCTTCGATGAGAAATTTACTAATGTATACTGCTCTACGTTAAAGACAGAATGCGAAATCAGCGGATGAGACTAAAAACAAAAGACTTTTAGTGACCAATAAAATATTGGTTTCGCTCATCAAGGGGATCTGGCCACCCTTGACGTCAGTAAATGCACCAAGCCCCTGGTTAGCGAACAAAAGGGGATCGGCCGCTCCCTAGACGTCCATTGTGCTGGTCCGCACATCTATCGCAATACTTACAGATACAACACGTTTGTCGGATTTTCAGTGGCAGTCGACCCGCTAAATTGCTTTCAGCTTAAGTGACTTAGATGTCTGGCACGCCTACCGAAGCTGCTTAACGATGGTTAATTACCCCTAACAGCTTTAGTAGGCGTGCCAGATATAGAGTCGCTTAAACTGAATGCAATTTAGCGAGAAACCCCTCGGAGATGGGTCGATCCTGCGAGTTCGATCTAGGTATGGGAACTGGGTCTAAAACATTGGTTTAAAAATTTATACCAATTTTCGGGCTAATTTTACTTTGTCAAACAGATCCTAGATGTTGACAGGTCGACGAAGATTTCAGTTACACGTCACCGGAATCGTCTGCCGACTCTGCGCGAACAACATGGACGATATCTATGCAATTTGCATTTGATGATTGATCAACTTTGAGCTGAATGGTCTGAAAACGGAGTGATTTCAGTTGATTTTGTTATCTGCATTGTTAGTTATTCTTTTGTGGATATGGACCGCTTTTGTCAATAATATCATAACATATCTTTTTTTAATAAAAAACAATGTTTTTCTCTTGTGATTTACTCATTGAACCTTTTCCTCTTGGTGAATAAAACGCGCACCAAACTTACGATTTGAAAAATATTCAAAATGACCCATGGTGTACCCCGTTGGCATTGTGGCATGATTGTGATAGTTGAGATTTGTCTTATATCAGAATTCTTTCTATAGCACAGGAACAAAACGACGTGCCTCGACATAAAACAAGATCACCCAGACGATCACCTCTAATTCCTACAAAATATCAATTAAGCTTATTATTAAGCCGAATACATGGATTTTCTTATGATATGTTATTATATTTATCATTTCCTAAGATTCCAAAAAAAAAAACAAGAAGTATGTTGACTCTACCCATTTTACGAATTTCATAACAAAATTCCAGTTTTTACGAGGCTACAAAATGTATGTCCTAAAATTATAGGTTGCTACGGGTCACCTTACTGTGTACATAACCTGTAATATGTGAACGTTAACTTTATTTTTGTATCTTCACACTTCATGGATCATCAATTATACATTATACCTTACACCTTTGTCTGCCACTGAAGACAATTTGAAGGGGGAGATGGCCGGCTTTAAATTCAGAATATCTCACCCCTACACGTAATTTCCCACGGTAAGCAGATTTGAAAAAAAAATGCAGGATATGCTAATGGCTTTTACGTAGAAAAATGAAAATTGTTGTCACATCCTCAGTTGTGTGGTATCACAAGACACTGACGCACAAGATGTGTGGGTGGCAACAAGGTGTCCTCTATTAGGTTACAATGAAAACAATTTCCCTAAAATTTCACACATTTTCTCTGGCTACACATATTTTATAATTGATCCCGAAAAAAAGCTATGCGCA